TAACTAAATATAGAAAATTAAATTTAAAAATGTTTACAATATTAATATTTATAACAAATAATATTATTTAATTATTCTATTTATACGGCATATCAAATATACTTAAAACTAATTTAACTAAGTAAGTTAATGTTTTAAAAAGTAGAATTATAGTAAACATAGTTTTTATCAATACATCTAATAATAATTCTAATGATTCTAATAACTTCATTTAATTTAAATAGCATCATAATCATGGTGTAAATTTGATTTGGAATCATAAACTGATTTAACAATATGATTATTTATTTATATCTGTTACATTTGTTTTAGATAAAATCTGGAGTATTTGATTTTCCTTTTTAATTATAGCTTGTTTAATTTCTATGAGTTTATTATTATAGTTAGTATTGTTAGTTTTTCTTTTGTTTGTCTAAATGATTTCTCTTACATTTCGTTCATTACAATGGATTTCTTAGAAACTTTAGAAAGATTTCTTAGAAACTGTAGAAGGAAATTTTTAATTTACTTCTTCAATTTAAGAAAATCTGAAGCTGATGCGCATCTTTTGCTTTTAGAAACATATGATAATTCTGCTTTAAGTGAGATAATTTTTCGTGAGTGGTTTTAAAAGTTTAAAGCCGGTGACTTTAGCGCAGAAGACAAAAATCGCAGTTGAAGGCCGAAAACGTACGAAAACAGGGGTGTCTTGTATTAGGAGTTGCTCAATCCGAATAAAACCAATACTGGAGCCCTCTACCGAAAACAATGAATAAGATTGAGTCATTCTCAAAAGGAAACCTAGTCTGTTTGATCAGAGCTTTATATCATATGAAGATACTACAAATTGGGTTCATTCATGGATGTCCTCAAAAGATGAAGAGTTATTCAGACGTAATATCCGAATGCAGCCTGAAATATGGAAAAAAGTAATTGCTGGTGATGGACAATACTTCGAATATAAACGTAATTATATATATAATTAATAACTAAAATATATTATGATATAATAACTATTCTGTTACAATAAATTCCTAATTTTTGATAAAAAAACGGCAAAAACTTATTTGTATTTCTAATAGTTTCTTTGTTTATAAAATAGATGATAAAAGACTGCAAGGAAAAATTATATTATAGCTTTATATTTGATCTAAATATATATATATATTATTGAAATATAAATAGTCGATATAACGCAGTAGTTTTTATACTTTTTCAGTGCACAAAACTTTTATAAATTCTAAGAACCAAGAAGAGAAAGTAAAGAAAATAAATCGTATCTTTTTTAAAAGTAATTCTCTATTGAGAGCTTGCAATACAATTTCTTTACGGTTTAGGATGTATTCTAGAAATGAAACATTTGCGAACAACATTAAAAAATGGGAAGATTTTTATGTCAGGAGATATATAAGCGATAAAGTTTTTGAATCTCTTAGCTTCGAAAATTGTGGATTATCAAATGAGATTAGTTTAACAGACTTGGTAGAACAATTTGGAGTAAGGGAAACAAAGATTCTTAAGTTTAATTCTTTTAAAAATCTTTGTACATCACTAGAAAAAAAACATCTTTATGGATTCGAATATGTGAAAAAATTAGGTTTATCTCACAAAGGTTTACCTGATATTTCTAGTAATTTGTTGTATGATTATTCCTATTTGGAGTATATTGATTTATCAAATAACATAAATCTTACCATACCCGCTGGTATATTCCATGCAACTCTAAATCTAAGAAAAATTAATTTAGATTCAAGTGGAACACACGTTATATATCTTGTAACATTTATTAAATTAAAAAATCTGGAATTTCTAAATATTATATCAAATTATATTTATAAAATCGAGGCTAGATCATTTAATTCATTAGTTTCTTTAAAAATTTTAAATCTAGCAGATAATAAATTGTCGTATCTTCCATTGAACATTTTTTATAAACTAAAGTAATTAAAAAAGCTTGATATTTTCATGAATAAGTTTTTTTTTTATTCCACCAAAACTATTCGATAAAAATAAAGAATTAAGAGAACTATATCTACATAATAATGTCGAAAAATGTCAATTTTTTCGTAAAAAGTCGACTATTTTGAGAAAAATTAAAAAATCAAAATTTCCTGCCGTTCATTCCCTGCGCCAACATCTCTACTAAAGGATAACACTCGGTTTTTATGTTTCTGATGAACCAATTTTTGCCAGTGAGGGCAACTGAAAATCACCTTTTTTTTTTGGACTCTTAGAAAAGTGGCCACAGACGACACAATTTACAACATTTTTACACACAAAAAATTGTGAATATAGTTCAGATATATAACTTACATATGCCAAAAATTTGTATTGATATTAATAAAACTGGCTGCAAAAAAAATTCAAAAAAAAACCGCTTCTTTTTGCACTCGAAGGTGACGTGTCCCCTTAATAATCATCTACATTTAGTTTCACTTTATTTTTTTTTTAGGCGTCTTAATTTCTATTTCCATAGCGCAAAATTTCAATCGATCTGAGTTATAATAATATAACTAATTTTCATTTTTATAAGATCAAGTAGATGGAATATTGGATTGAGGAGAACCATAAAATATCAATCCTCATAGAACATTATCCAATTTCATATGATTGTACCTTATATGATCGTTTGCGTTTTAATGAAAAAAAGATGTCCCATTCAACTTACCCTTATTTTAAAATTGTATTAGGAAATTTAACCTGTATGCAACGTGATAGATTGAACAAGATAGAAATGTATGATAGTATGATATTTCCTATTTTACTATTTTTTATTTCTTCGTAAAAAATGTTTACAAAATTTTTATACATTCTTCTAATTTTTTCTTTTTTTTTTTAGATATTAGACTTACATAATAACAATATATTAATAATTGATTCTAAAATTGCAGATTACTTGAAATCTATATCTTTGAAAAAACTTACTTTAAGTGGCAACCAAATTCTGTGTATTTGCAGTAATCAAAATATAATTTTTTTCCTTCAATCACATTCAGTTCATAATGAAAGTCAATATTGTATGAAATGTTCAAATACGAAAGTTCCTATCAATAAGATAACCGGAGACGATTTATGTGTCGTTTATGAGTATTTTACTATTTATTTAGTAGTTATCGTAGCTATACTCATTTGTTTAATATTTGCGGTATTTTATTATAGAAGAGAAACCAAAGAATTGTTAAAAAAAAATTATTGTTCATTTTATTCGAAGAGACGAAAAATAAAAACATACGTCACGTAGTGGACTTCGAAAAAGAGGAATCCTTATTGTAAACGCTTTGTCTCTATTACTTCAGGGCTTTTTATTGTAAGTTGTCGTGTGTTTTTATTATAATGCTATTTTTTATTGTTCTTTAAAAACCCTGTGTGTCGTACATAATTAATAAAAAAACAAAAGGACCAACTAAATTTGGTTTTTAACGGATGTTTAGTATCGTCTTTGTGATCGTTTCGACCTTTTCTTCTATCCATCTGAGATTTTTTAGGATCTAAAGGAGTGGTTAAAATACAAAGCTAGTTGGTTTATATGTTTACTTTTTACCTCTGATCAGTTTTATATAATAAAGATTGAATTTATAATATACTTAATCAGAAATGTAATTTAAGTTTTCGTCATAATTATGTGTATTTAGTACTAATAAATTTKTAAAACTAATATAAAATAGAAAGTGTTGAATATTGTTATTTTTTCATAAATAATATTTGAGACTAATAATTATAGAAAGATCAAAATCTGTGTTGAAAACCAATTATTTTTTCTACTTTTATTCCTACTATTATTTCTCRCTTTTTTACAAGTGAGTAAAAAAAACAARATACAAATAATTTTAACTTTCAAGTTAAATTTTCTTATCGAATTTAAATTTCGGTTTTTGTAGTATCGTATGTGTATGTACCTATCGCACATGTTTTATTTATTAATACCGAGTTAGAATTTAGAAGAATAATATTAAAAAAAAAAAAAAAACTTTATTGCTAAAATAATTAAATTGTCAATAATAGAATAACGAAGAGGGTATAATACATTAAATANATATATATATATAATCATAAATACATACGTAATATGTATGTATATATGAAAGTATGAAAGTATATATGATGTATACTTCTTATGTATGTACATACATACACAAAAAAAGAATAATAAAGTGATGTTGTAGTCACAAAATATATATGGCGATAATGGCTGGACGTACCACGGGCGCCAGAGATAAATGTGTTTTGATAATCGAAAATAACACCAGCAGTACACTGAAACCAAATGATACGAATAATTGATCTTTGAGAAACGTCATCTTCATTCATTCATTCATTCATTCTGAGCATAACTCAACGGATCAATAGTGCTCATATCATTTCTGCATCTATTGATGAAGAGTCTCTCCACACTGTCTATCTTTCTCTCTTACTCTTTCTCTCTGTCTCTTTCTCTCACTTTCTTTCTTTCTTTCTTTTCTCTTTCTCTCTTTCTTTCTCTCTTTTTCTCAAAGAATTGAAATAATAAAGCTACAATGAGCCCCGTAGTCTCGACAGGAGTTCTAAAAAATTTTACTAAGTTTCTTCATCTACTATGTAGTATTACATTGTTACCTTCGGAAAAGGTATTAACGATCAATCGATTTGATTTGTTATTGATTAAATACTACTTGTATTCGTCGACGCGCAATAGCAACGAGACGTTGGCTGGATTTCTAACTAGCGCTTAACAAATCCTAACAATATTTTCTTTGCGGATATCCTTGATACATATATATATATATGTATATATATTATATATGTTATAATGTTATTATAACATATACAAATATATATATATATATTATAATATATTATTTTTATCGTCCGAAATTATTATTCCAAGTTTTCTTCTAATTATTTTCTAGAAATTATTTATGGGCACCTCTAACAATCCTTTTTATCTCTTTGATATCCGATAACAAAATATAATCGTCATCGATTAACCGAGGATTTGTTAAGACTCAAAAAACGCGCACGAATAAATGTGTGTAACATGTGTTTATGTGTGTGTAATAATTGTGTGGAATTCAATCAAGATAGTTTGCTGCTCGGGGTTTTTTTTTCTTTGTTTTTTTTTTCCTTCGGAAACTGGAGTGCTCAGGCAGTTAGCAAACGTGAATGGATTATACGTGAGACTGTCTGTCCATTGATATATGTGTATATATGCATAAATACGTATATACATATTATATATGATACATATATATATGTATATATGTATATGTGTATATACATATATAACATACGAGAGAATATACGCACGCGTCCATCGTTACGTGTGCTCGTTATATTGGATGTGTATGTCGTACGTGTCTTCCTTACATATAATTCAATTTTCGTGTAGATTAATAATGGTAGAAGTGGAAATAGAGATGGCAATAAGGATTTACTTGTCCCATCCTTCCCACCAATCAGGGTGTATACCACCACTACTGTTGTTAGATGTATTGTTGTATGATGAATTATAATTCCCTCCATAACCTCCTCCGTAACCGCCTGGAAAATTTAAACGTATCGTAAATAATATTTCACTAAAGCGTGTACGCGTGTATTCGAACTCTGTCTCGTGCACACACACGAAAATCCATCGAGTCAAACGAATTTAATTTTTCAAATTATTCATATAGAAAAGATCGATACCAATACTATCTTACAAATAAAAACACTTATTTTTAAATAAAGTAGGAGAATAAGTTTCAGGGGGGGGGATGAAAGATAATAAATAAATCTTACCTCCATAACTACCTGGTCTACTTGATGGACCATTATTACGAGTAGATCCACCGCTTGGTTGCTGCCGATAATCACGTGCACCAAAACCACCGCTGAAACGTCCACCACCTCCTCCGCCTCCTCCACCGCCACCACCGCCGCCGCCACCACCTCCACCTCCTTTAGTACTACCTGAACGACGAGAACAACCACCGGCATAACGTGCATCCGTGAATAAATCTTCGAGCCAAGGTGGAAGCTCTTGATTAGCCTCGACGAGAAGAGATACCAAATCCCGTACAAGATTATGGTTCTTGTTATTGAAGAAAGATGTTGCTAAGCCTAGAAACATAACAAATAAATCAATAATTATGCGTCATAATTATTACGAAACATTATAATATAATTTATATATTTATATAAGAAATAAATATATTAAAAACAAACCTAAGTTCCCCATACGTCCTGTACGACCGATACGATGAACATACTCTTCAACGTCACCTGGCAAATCAAAGTTAATAACGTGCTTAACATGAGGAATATCAAGACCACGAGCAGCGACAGCAGTAGCAACAAGTATTGGCGCTTTTCCAGCACGGAATCGACGTAATGCTTCTTCTCGTTCTCGTTGAGTTCTATCACCATGAATGCTGGTTACTGGATAACCCATATTATGTAAATATTCTTCGAGCATGTCTGCTCCTTTCTTTGTTTCGACAAATACCAACGTTAGCGCGGCTAAAATATTTAAAAACGAACAAATGTAAGATAAAAATTATTTTGTAAATTTGCTACAATAAATTCAAATATAAACGTGTTTTTTTTTTTTTTTTTTTTAAAGAAAAACTACTCACAAGGATCTGAAAATCTACTAGCTTGCAAAAGATCGAGTAAATATGAACGTTNTTCCACCAAAACTATTCGATGAAAATAAAGAATTAAAAGAACTATATCTACATAATAATTTCGAAAAATTAAACACCTTGCCAGATAATCTTTTAGCGAATTTTTCAAAGCTTTACCAAGTCTGTTTGAACAATAATGGATTTAAATATTTACCTGAAAATCTTTTCTGGGGTTCAACATCATTAAAGTGTATCTATTTAGACAATAACTCTCTTGATACTTTACCCAAGAATCTCTTCCGTGGTCTAAAAAATGTTACATTATTGTCAATAAAAAACAACAAACTTGAAACGCTTCCTGATAAAATTTTTAAAGATGTGGAAAATTTAAAGGCACTTGATTTGTCAAATAATTTAATTGCTCGTGTATCATGGTAAATTAATTAACAATTTATAAAAAATATATTTTTATTATATTTCTTTTCTTTAAAAACTAAATATTTTTTAGTGATCTTTTTTACGGCTTGGTTTCTTTGGAAGAATTAAATATGGAAAGGAATCAGATAAAACATATCGAAAGTAGTGCTCTTGACACCCTTTTTAATCTAAGAATTGCTAAGTTTTCTCATAATCCGCTAAGTTTTCCGATCCACAATCGATATCTCAAAGAATTGTATTTATCAAACTGCAGCATTAACCACTTCTTTGAAGATTGGTCGATGGGCCCCAGTAATTTAATTATTTTGGATCTGAGTCACAACTTCATTAAAAAAGTATCGGTAAGATCACGAAATAAAAAATAAATAATTACATAGGCTTTACGAGCCGTCTACATTAAGTCTTATTATATTTCTTTTTTTAGGCTCCTTCATTGGTATTTCAGAATCGATATTTGGAATTACGTAAAATTTCAATCGATCTGAGGTATAATAATATAACTAATTTTCCTTTAGCTCAGATCGAGAATATAGAACGTTTGAGTATTGAGAACAGTTACGTTAAGATTTACATGAATCATAATCCTATCTCATGTGACTGTAGCTTATATGATCTTTTGCGTTATAATGAAAGAAAGATGCCCTATTCAATTTACCATTCCTTTAATATTGTATTGGGAAATTTAAGGTGTATACAACGTGATGGATCGAACGAGATAGAAATAAGAAATCTGAATTCAAGCACTTATTTATGTTCCGAGCACGACTACTTTAAAACTTCAAAACGATGTCAAGATGGTTGTACTTGTAGCGTAAGACCGTCAGACCAGACTCGTATTTTAGATTGCTCGTATAAAAACATGTCTCAATTTTTATTCGATGAGAGCAAAGTTAACATACAGAGAAATTATCCTTTTATAATAAATTTCACAGGAAATTCATTGACGGAGATACCATCAACTAAATCTTTAGAACCTATGAACTTTACGAGTTTTATCCTCTCCAATAACAATATATCTAAAATAACACTTGATAAACTACCAAGAAGCCTTCAAGTATGATATTTATTATTTTACTATTTTTTATTCCTTCGTAAGAAAAATTTACAAAATTTTTATACATTCTCCTAATTTTTTCTTTTTTTTTTTTTAGGTATTGGATTTACATAATAACAATATATCAATAATAGATTCAAATGTTGTAGATTACTTGAAATCTATATCTTTGAAAAAACTTACTTTAAGTGGCAACCCAATTCTGTGTATTTGCAGTAATCAAAATCTAATTTTTTACCTTCAATCTCATCCAGTTTATAATGAAAGTCAATGTTGTATTAAATGTTCGAATACGAAAGTTCCTATCAATGAGATAGACGCCAACGATTTATGTGTCGTTTATGAATATTTTACTGTTTTTTTTACAGTAATCTTAGCTATACTTATTTTTATAATATCTGCTGTATTTTATTATAGAAGACAAACCATAGAATGGTTAAAAAAAATAACTATTGTACATTTTATACGAAGAGACGAAGAATAAAAACGTACGCTACGTATTGAACTTCGAAAAAGAGTAATCCTTATTGTAAACGCTTTGTCTCTATTACTTCAGGGCTTTTTAATGTAAGTGGTCGTGTGTTTTTATTATAATGCCATTATTTATTGTTCTTTGAAAAACACTGTGTGTCGTACATAATTAATAAAGAAACAAAACGACCAACTAAATTTGGTTTTTAACGGTTGTTAAGTGTTGTCTTTGTGATCGTTTCGACCTTTTCTTATATCCATCTGAGATTTTTTAGGATCTAAAGGAGTGGTTAAAATACAAAGCTAGTTGGTTTATTTGTTTACTTTTTACCTCTGATCAGTTTTATATAATAAAGATTGAATTTATAATATACTTAATCAGAAATGTAATTTAAGTTTTCGTCATAATTATGTGTATTTAGTACTAATAAATTTKTMAAACTAATATAAAATAGAAAGTGTTGAATATTGTTATTTTTTCATAAATAATATTTGAGACTAATAATTATAGAAAGATCAAAATCTGTGTTGAAAACYAATTATTTTTTCTACTTTTATTCCTACTATTATTTCTCRCTTTTTTACAAGTGAGTAAAAAAAACAARATACAAATAATTTTAACTTTCAAGTTAAATTTTCTTATCGAATTTAAATTTCGGTTTTTGTAGTATCGTATGTGTATGTACCTATCGCACATGTTTTATTTATTAATACCGAGTTAGAATTTAGAAGAATAATATTAAAAAAAAAAAAAAAACTTTATTGCTAAAATAATTAAATTGTCAATAATAGAATAACGAAGAGGGTATAATACATTAAATAWTCTAAGATATAATATACTATAAAAATATTAGATTTTTATTTAAAGTAAAATATGAAATATAACGAGAAAATTTAAAGAATCCAAATAGATCTCGATAGCGAATGAAAATCAAGGACATACCCCCTTATTCAATACAAGATGAGGAAATCCGAAAAAGAAACAGGCCTACCAACTAATCATTATGGTCTACTTGAAAAGCGCCCGAAAATTTTCGTCGTTTGAAAATAAGATAATTTAATTAACTCTACATATGACATAATATATAGAATTAAATTTTAAAAATATTTACAACATTAATATTTGTTGCTAATAATATTATCTAATTATTCTATTTATACAGCATTGCAAATATATCTAAAACTAATTTAATTAAATGAGTTGTTTCTTAAAATTATTATTAATTGGAATTAGGAACTTTAAAGTTCAATGCCACAATTTACATACCCCTCCAGTGTATTCCGTCCTTGAGCTCGACCTATCTATTCGCGATCTTCGTAGCCTATTTCTTTAAAATAGTTTCTGGTATTTTCTTAGAATCTACGTCTCGATCTATYTAGTTGTCCTTTTCTATTCAGKATACCAACCAGTATTTTGTTCGCTGTTTGATTCTCCCCTATGCGTGCCACATACCTAATCGGCGTGACATTAAGACCTTCAAAATGTCCGGTTTGTTGTGCAGATGATGTACCTCTACGTTTTGGAGTTTTCTCCATTCGTCTGTTTTCTTATTGTGCTTTTCATCGAAGATTTTAAGAACTTTGTAAAAGTAGAATTATACTAAACATAGTTCTTTTTTATATATCTAATAATAATTCGTTAGTTAAGGTTTTTTTTTGTGAATCTACTTACCCTTATATAAATGTGAATTCTTTTCGTATTTATTTTATTATTTGGCTTTACACAGAGGTAAGTACGTTTGTGTAAGATAATTTTGATTTTATTACCGTTATAATCAACATGATCAATGTAATATTCCATTTCGAAACTATTTTTATTAGTATTTAATTAGGAAAGAATAATATATTATATCTAATAAGAAGAATAATATTTATATATATAAACTATTTAAGTAATATATAATTCTTTATATATGTAACGATTATAATATAAATGTATTATATAATTATTTTTTTTTTTAATACATATAATAACTTTTATTTATATTATTAATTTCTCTAAAATTCATTTTTAGATTAGTCATTATATAAAATCATTATACAAACGTATATTGACTTTTTAGTTTAATAACAATGTTTGTTTCTTATTTTTATTTCTAACATTTACATATCCTTTTGAACGAATGAATATATTTTTGGTTTGATTTTACGTAAAAAAGTATAAAATTTAAATTTAAATTTCAAGAAGTAATATATATGAATCCATAGATGAAAGATACATCATAATACAGATAATGTGACAAAATTGCTTAATTATTAATAGATAAACTTATTAGTTTTTGTAGTTAAGTATTAAATAATTTTTCTTTTACCAGAGAGTGGCTAGATATAAATGATTATATTTTATATTAGGTTTTTTGATTACAATCTATAAAATATAAGTAATCAAGAAAAGGCAATATTAAGGTAAAGTTAGAAAAAAATAAGAAACAAAATAATGTTAGTAGTGATTAACTAAAATAAAAATAAGAGAAAGAATAAGAATTATAAAACACAAAGAAGAATTTAGTAATGTTTATATCAGAAAGGAAAGATAAATGTATAAAAGTTCCTCTTTTACTTGTTTTTTCATCTTTCATGTAATTTCGGTTGATGTTGTTTTCTCGATAAAGTCTGATTGAAATCTAATAAACTATTAGGATTAAATTAATTTAATTTAAATAGAATCATAACCGTGGAGTAAATTTATTTGGAATAGTAAACTGATTTTACAATATGATTATTTATTTATATCTGTTACAATTGTTTTAGATAAAATCTAGAGTATTTGATTTTGCTTTTTAATTACAGCTTGTTTAATTCCTATAAATTTATTATTATAGTTAGTATTATAATTATTTATTTTGTTTTTTCAAAAAATTTTGCTTTTATTTGGTTCATTATAATGGATTTGTTAAAAACTGTAGAAGGTCTATCCAACCCGGTGTTCCGAGAAAGTTTAAATAGCACCTGTTACGATTTGACTAATGAAATTTTTTTATATTAGGTGTACAAATAAGTATTCGCTGTTTTGATAAGGATAGTTCTACTGATGGTTTAAGTTTTGATTGACAAATGAAAGACGGCATAGAGTAAGTTTGATCCTTTGGTAACCACATTAACTTGAAGTATTGACTTCGTATTAGCATCATATAATTTCTTTTGTCCGAATTTTTCTAAATTTGTTCTTAACAAGCATCATTTGCGTTTATTTTTAATTTACTTCTTCAATTTAAAAAATTCTAAAGCTTGGGCGCATCTTGATGCGGTAGAATTTAGATGCATATGATAATTTTGCTTAAGTGAGAGAACTTTACGTGAGTTGTTTAAAAGTTTAAA